CTTTTGAGGAGACCTGAAGGAAACAAGTTGAGATCCAGAATGTTTCAAATTTAGTTACGATTAGTTTCAGGACATTTTACATCTAAAAGAGAAAAAAACACTCCAGGATCCTAATAAAGCTGTCAGGGTTAACTTGACATTTTTTAGGACACCAACTAGTTAGTGTGTCTTCTATGTCTGTTAGTGTAAAGCGCTTTGGGGTCTGGAGGGACTTGAAAAAGCGCTCTATAAGTTCAGTACCAGTACCAGTACCATTCATTCATCCAGTCACAAGATTTCCCACTTTGAATCTGTTCAAAACTCTTTTTCTTCCCTTTTCCTATGGTTGCAACTGATTTTATTAACATGTAAAGATGAAAGAAGGAGCAACTTTAAAACCATCAGTAAGTCTAAATGTTTGAACATCAAAGATTACATTTTGGATTTTTTTTTTCAAATTATTATGTCTAAAATTATAAATCAAATTGAAAACATGTTAACAATTTTATTTGAAATGTCATTTATTATCTTAAAGTGTAACAGGGCTAGACATCAAGGTAAAGTAGCCAACTGCAGAAACAAGGGAAAACAATGGCAGCTCAGCTTAAAAGAATAATTTTAAYGACTCTGTAAAGCAGATAATCCAAATAATTTATCATGTGGCATGCAAATCAAGGAAACTCCTCATAATGATCCAGTAATAAAAGTGATTGTCAAGGATCGTCCACTTTAATTACTGGATCATTGTGTGAGTCAAACATAATATCCAGATGAATAGCTCAGATGTAAAGTATTAGCCTGGTAAAAACCAGACCCTTGTCCTTCGCTTTGCTTCGTACGAGGGTCTGGACTCTCGGCTAWAGAAAAGTGATTCTTGCTGGAGGCGTGGCCTCTGCTGAAGTTTAAAATGATTGGATCGGTTGGCTGCGACGTTTGTAGCCAGCTCCACTGTGAAGCAGGCTAAGCTAAGAAGCTAATCGGAAATCAGTGTGCTGTAAACAACTGTACTGAGAGGAGAAACGTACCGAGTCGAACAAGACGACTGTAAATGAGAGCTGCTGCTTTGTCAGACAAATTTAATT